CTAAGAGGCCTCTTCAGAAGGAGAGGACTGCTGAGATAAGCTTTTTATAGAGCAAGTGGTCTAGCTAACAGGCCTTCACAGCTGAAGTCAGTTAGCTTTGCTTGGGTACCAAAAGAGATCAAATAGGTCAAAATAGATGCTCTATGCCAGCACTTAACTACCTGTAGCTAAGGGGTCTTGTCTTTTCTCATTTGTAATTGCTGTTTCTTGTTAATCCTCATGTCCACTGCTGATTTCAGTGGTGCCTGTGTTGGTGTTGTGGTGTTAGAGCGAGACCTTCTAGCACCTTTTTTTCTTGAGGGCAATACCACTAAAGAAGCTGTCCCCTGCTTGCAGGCAGCAGGAAGGTGATGTAGCACTGGCACATGGGGCGTCAGGGGAACACGTGTGCTTTCTTCCTGAGCTTTTCTCTCCACGTTGGCATCAGTGAGTTCCTCCCCACCCCTGCCTCTTGGTCACAGCTACTGAGACTTGCACTCCTGACAAAGCTGGGGGAAGGGCTGATGGTGGCTCTGGGGGCTGGTGGTGGGCAGAGGTTTCTTTTTAAGTGCCAGGAACTTTGCAATGTATCTATCTATCTTCTGGGTTTTTTATAGGGTTTTTCAGGACTGAAATGTGATCCAAGCTTAACAGATAGGCTTCCTCCTTTAGGTATCTTGGAGATGGTGTAGGAACAAGTGTTTGTCAGTCCAAGGTTGCCACAACCTTCAGGCTGGGCTGACTCCAGTCAGCTTCACATGTCACCCAGTCTGGAACAAGGTCAGAATTCCTGGAATTGGTTACCTGGGGTGGAGCTGAGTGCCTTTTTTCTGAAACAACTGTTTCTAGGGCTATTAAAGCTTTGGCTCATTACCTGTTTGTGTCTGGAGTGATCCATAGCTTGAGCTATGGAATACAACCAGCACAGAGGCAGCAGTGAGGGAGGTGAAGTCTGAAATACAGAGAACTTCTTTATGATGTTCTGTGTTCACAGTGTAATGTCAAACCATCAGTCTGAAGTTGCTACTTAAAGCTGTGAGCAAAGAGTTTGGTAGGAAAAAGAGGAAGTGAAATCAAGTTGCAAAAAGGATTTGGCAAGCAAGTTACAGTCTTTGGAATGCAGGAAGGCAAACCACTTTCACCATTCTTTGTCAGCAGGTGAATTCTGCAGGTTGGGGGAATTTTTCTGAGCAATGACTAGTCATGTGGTAGGAAATCTCCAGCTTCCTCAGCGCAGCAGAGTCTGCTTCTGAAAACAAGGGCAACGCATGTCGGGGCAGGAAACTGATCCAGTGTTCCCAGCTTATATCTTCTGATCTAATCTGGGACTGAAAAAGGAGGGAGGGAATCCTTTTTGCTGCTTTAACAGAAGGTTACCCCTGTGCTTAATAAATTCTAGCTAGGAAATCGGTGTGTGTGTTTTATTTAGAGCTCTGAGTACCCTGGGCATTGGCCTGTACTGCTGAATGTCAGGCACTGTGGTGACGCCGAGGGGCACCACTGCCTTTTTCTGGTACTTTCACAGAATCATCATGTGTGTGTCTTGTGTTCCCTGGGGCTGTCTCTTCCCAGTCAGCTGCTCTCTCGGGGAGCACTGCTGGCACCACAGCAAGGCTGAGCCTGAGGAGCCCTGCGCTGGGCCAGGACACCTCTGCCACCATTCCCTGACTCACCTTGTGAGTCACCTTCACCACTGGCTGAAGCCTGGGGCACCTTCCTGTGCTGCTGGCAACTCTTAGGGGGCCTTTGATGGGCCCTCCCTCGGCTCACAGTCTCCCCACCTCAGCCTTAAAGCTCCAGACTTTCACCAACAGGTGCACGATGGTGACCACAAAGCGTTTGGATTATTTTGCACAGAACAAGATAGGATTCATTTGTTACAGAAACTCGGGTGAGGGAACAGTGGGAGGTCGCTGCTCCAGCTCCATGGGGTGGGAGAGAAGCAGAATTAGGCATTTCAGAGAGAATTCCATTCCTCAGTGCAACCTGATAGTCTCAAATTGCTTGGAAAAAGGTCTCCCATTGTTATTCAAAGAAGCCAGCAATAGCATTCTCTGCTCTGGCTACTGGAAGACCTGAAGTATGTTTTTTCCCCCCATCTTTGAAAGCTAAACATTCAGGATGCATGTTCTGGAGCTCTGCATGTGGCTGCTTCTAACACAGAACCTCCAGTCGATTTAGGAAAACCGTGTGCACACCCACACGTGGAATTCAGGGTGTTGTGGTTGAGAGGCTGCCAGGCCCAGCTGCATGTTGTCTCATGAGGTTCTCCAGCACAGCCTGGAGTTTAAAGGAATGGAAAATCCTCAAAGGAGGACAAAACATGCAGGGAGTCTGATGTTCAAAAACCAGGAAAGCAGAAGAGCCAGAGAGGAACACAATTCAAGTTGTGTGGCCATAACAGAGATGTTCTACAAGCCATGGGAGAAGAGGACTGAAGGCTACTAAAATCCTTAAATCCTCCCTGAAGCATTCAAGACTGTTTCAAGAGAAGCAAACATCATTTTGTCTCAGCCATGGCAGGGGCTCCCCACAGCCCACAGAACAGACAAGTGCACGTCCCACACAGGGATGGAAGCACAGGGGCAGAAGTCGACCAGGCAACGTGCCCCAGTCTTCTTGTCACCCATTTTGCACAGAAGACACACCACGCCTTTGGTTGCAATTATTTTTTAATGGAAAAGACTAATCAATGTTTGACAGAAACATCAATTAGCGATAACAAGTCAGTTGAGTCAGTAAAGGAACACATACCCCAAGTGTTAAAGGCTGGTAATGAACTGACAGAGTAGCACACAATGACGACTACAAGGAGGTGTAGTGGTGGGCTGCAGGTCACATCACCTTCCAGCTCAGCTGCTAACCCAATTTGGCTGTTCCTGGTGTTAGTCACAGTGCAGGCTTCCCATGCAGCACAAGGACACAGCCCAAGGGGAAAGCCAACTTAAAAACACCTTTCTGCTTCCAGCAGAAAGCCTCAACTGAATGAAGTGAGGAAGCCTCAAGTGGTCCACTGACGTCAAGTACTTTTGTGGTCTGGTTTCACATGTGCAGTGTCCCCTCTCAGACTGAAAAAACTGATTTTTTGCCAAAGGTACAGGTTCTAGGAGAAGGGAATGTGTTCACACTGCAAAGTGATACCAAGGTTGCATCTTGCCAGTGATTTCTTTTCTACAAGTTTGTAAAGAACTGAAATCACTTTTATTGCCAGGCAGGCTGCAGGGAGGGGGAGAAGGGGAGGTTGTTTTTAATAGCCATTAAGAGCAATTTGTTAAGCGAGTAGAAGTTGCACCAGAAACTATGTAACTTCACAGTTTTTCATGCAAGCTGACAGGTGTGATCCACATTTCCATCTAACCTCTCCACACTCTTCCCCCCAGGCTGCAAATGCTGAATGCCTAAAGAGGTATTGCTGCTATTCTGTCTGCAGTTAGAAGGATCAGTTACTTGACCCCACCTGCATATGCACAGTAACATGGAAATCCACAGGTTAAATGTCTTTAAAATGGGTCAGTGGGAGCCACACAGTTTGCCAAGTTAGTGTTTCCCAATTAAACAGCATGACATCAAGCTCATGAGAAGGCATCCAATTCCCCAAATGCATTACCTTTCAATATTAAGTGGCTAAGATGTCTGCTCTCCAGTGGTTTAGTCAACAGAAGTTAATGATGAATTATCCAGGTGGAACTAGCAGAAACAGACACATTTCATCTTGCACCTTTTCAGTGAAATTCAGATAGTTGTTCTATGCAGGGGACATGGTAGGATCTGATCTGCTCGACCATGAAAATTAACATCCTACCCTGTTCTCTGAATGGCTCAAAAATCTGCAAGACAAGTTTTCCTGCAGAACTAAGTTACCAATTCTGTCACGTGTCACATCCCATAAATCCATGTCTGTTTAAAAATCTGGACTGCACACACTCAGCCAGGAGACACACCAATACAAGATGAAAATAACACCTTTACAGTTAGCAACTGCTCAATAAAAGAAATTGCTTCCAAATACAGCCTAAGTTGTCTTGTGATCCCAGGGAGCTGAAACCCAACTCATGACAAAGTAGCAGCAGCTGAAAGGAACAGCAACACTTCCACAGTCGCTGCTGAAGGTGGATGTTTCACAGCACCAGAGTTTGCTTTCTGCTTGCACTGGCTTCAAGTGACAACCCATTAATGATTCATGTAGTCCCATAACAGATACAAATTTACTAACACCTCTAGAGTATCAGATTGCTTATGCTCAGGGAGTTTACATTTCAGAATTAATCATAACAAAAAGGCATTTTCTGCACTGTAACTCTGTTACATGGGTAATCTTTTCTGTTACAATTTTAGAATAAAAAGCAGATGGCCAAACACAAAACACAAGAATTCAGCTGGCTGCAGTCACTCAGCGTGATGTGCGATTGATCAGCGGGCAGGGGACAATCTCATTGCTGCCAGTTCTTCACATCTAAACAAATTGAAAATGGAGTTAATATCTTTGATAAACAGAAAACAACACTGTTGGAAACAAAAACATACATAAGACACCCTGGGGGGAAAAAAAAAAGCCTTCCAATACTTCTTAGAACTGAGTATCTTGCCTTTTAAGGTGTGAAGTATGCCTGCTAAGGAGGACTTTTTTCTTGAGTTTCAAAGACAATGATGAAGAGCTATCTTGGCAGAAAGGAAAAACAGGACATCAGCTGTAAATACAGGACAGGGGCAAGAAAGAAGCTGTCTGGGAATTGAGACATTAATTGCATGTTCTAGTTACAATGATTCTACCAAAATGTCAACTGGTTGAAGAGTGACTTACTCAAGAACATAATTCCCTTCCTGGCTTGTGATCAAAAGAGGGGGAAAAATGAAAATGTAGCATGGTCCAAGCTGTTAAAAAAGTCCATGGGGAGGAAATCCCAGTGCAGTTAAACATTATGTTTGAACTGTGAGGACAGCAGCTGGCTGCCAGCACCTCCATTCTGTACCCCCAAGCTGTGTTTTGGCTCAGCTGTTTCAGCACATTCTGCAGGTCCTACCTGTAAAGGAGTCCGATACAGCCATTTCTCATTATCTCCATTGAGCTTCATACAAGCAAAAAGGTCACAAACTGTAGGAAGGCCAAAGTCCTGAAAGAGAAATCACCTTAATTACTCATCTCCAAACATAAATACATTCTCATCTACCTTCAAATTCTGTCAAGAGCTCAAAAAGGAAATAAAGCTGATTTCCAAGTCTTTGAGTTGAATAATCGATTAATTTAGTGGCCTCATCTACTTAAGCAACTAATAATTGCTGAAAATATGAAAAGAGCTAGGAAACCACAAGTCAGCATCACCCATAAGAGCTATGGATTTGGAAGAGGAGGGAGGCATTCAGTTCAGTAAAACAACAAACCAGCCACATTGGGTTAAGACACAGCAGGAACAAAAACTTATGCTCACTTGTGCTTTCTTGCGCAGAAGCCATTTATCTTCTGCTGGAGGGGAGCTGGCGTTTTCTAGGTTGTTTGATGTCAACACCCAGCTGTTGACATTCAAGGGGAGGTGGAATGGAGCCAAGAGGTCTAGGAAGGGACTCTTGAAGCTACTGTCTGCTTTTTCCCTACTGGCCTTTTCTTCTGCGCTTCCTGCCTTGTGCTCGGACTTGGCCAGCCAGCTTGTCAGCGGCCTCTCCAGCAGGACTTTGAAGGGTTCTGCAATCTCTGTGGAACAATCTGCTTTCTCTGCACTAAGGGCTTCCCCCGGGAGCTGCTGTGTGGGGTTCAGCCAGCTACTGCCAGCAGACTTGGTCTTCTCGTGCTCGGGCTGTGGCACGTCTTTCGGACCGACCGGAACTCCGTTTTTATCCTTCCCATCTTTCCTCAGAAGCCATTTACACAGCGCGTCTCTTCCGCAGTTTTCATCACACACACATTCTGAAAAGCTGGCACACAGCTCGTTAGCTTTGCACACATCTTCCACTGTAAATGGGGCCTGGGGGTGCTGAAGAAGCCAAGCGCTTACAGCAGAAGTGGTGGGTGACTTCTTCACGTCAAGATGCTCGTTCAGGCACTTCAGATTTCCCAGGTTCTCAATTTCCACACTTTTGGTCTGGCTTCCACAACAACTAGTACATGTTTCAGCTTTAAGAATCCAATCATTCAAATTGAACTCTTCTCTAAAAGGTTTAAACTCATACTTCCACTTCTCATCTGAAGCACTGCTTCCATTTTCTGTGTCAGGAGTGAGCAGCCAGTCAGAAAGGTCCATCTCTTCTTGCCCAAGGGATTCCAATTCCTCCACCTTTTCAATAGTGGAAAAGGATGAGCTGGAAGTAGAGGTGGAGTCTTTGCGGCCAGAAGGGTCCATCTTCCCAGCAACATCACCCTGTTGATTCTGCAGAAGCCAGTTTTCCAAATCTTTCAGATTTCCCCAGGCTTGCTCAAAGTAACAAACTTTGGAAGAATTTAGCTCCTAGTAAAAACACATTGAAGTGCATATATTAACACTAAAAGGCAATGTTCATTAACTGTTTGCGCAGTTATTATGAGAACACTCTCAGCTGCAAGTGCAAAGTGTCAGCTGAATAGGAGGTGAAGAGAATTACAGGGGGTTTAATTCCCACCACATTCTGCCTGCAATCAGATACTGTGTTTTCCCCTTTATAAAAACTGGTTTACTGCACAAAAGGCTTACCTGGATGGGCTCTGACACACATTTCTGTGTGACCCATTCTTCAAGATTGGTGCTGGGAACATAGGGAGCCTGGGAAACACCCACAGGTCTGCTTCCAAGTAACCAGTCAGCAAGCGAGGCACTCACTGGCCCACACATTTTTTTCTGCTGAGAAAGAAGGTTCCTGGTTATGAGAAAGTCTAATTGCTGAGGCAACCTATGGTGGACATCAAAACACAGTTCCAAGTCCTGGCTTGTCAACGTCAAGGAACATTCAATTAAAACACACTGACAGCCATGCTCCAAGTTAGTTTTCACACTACATTCTTGGATGTCTATGCCTGGAGCAGAGCTGGATCATCAGAGCACTAATGCTCACCACAGCAACTCTTACTGGCTGCTCAAACACCTTAACAAACAGGGGTCATTTCTCAGGCAAGCTAACCTTGTGCTCAAGTTCTCCTTTTCCTTCCTTTTATTACAATTAAACATCCACTGATGCAAGTCTTAATCTTACCTGCTCACAGTTCATGAGGGCACAGTTCTGCCCTGGGAACCAGGGAGAAGTATTCTCTCTCTCTGAGGTTTGCTGTAAGGAAAGGAGAAGTTAATGTAAATCTCAGTTTTGTCCATTTTCTAGGATGAATTCTACAATAAAGCAGGAGTAAAGTGCAGTTAGAACTGGTCAGCTCTTTGTGGCTCACAATTTTCTCAATGTTTAAAAATAGAAGAGAGAAAATTCTACTATAAAAATACTACCTTCAGTCCACTTGAAGAGAATTATCTCTGATAATGCAGGAAATACGCTGCTTACATAAGAATCCTAAAATATTTATACATTATAGATGACTTCCTGTGATACAGCTAAAGAAAACTGTTATCATTAATTTTCAGTTGCTGGAATAGAGTAAGAATATAATTATCATTTCCTTAGTCTCTGCCAAAACATGTTAAAATAACGTGTACATTACTAGATCTAAATTCAGTCAAAATCAGAGCTACATGCAACAGGTAATAAACCACTGTATGTATATTTTATGGCTAGAATATGACTTATAGCTTGAATGGATCTGTGTACAACTACAAGCAGAAATACCACTTGAAATATCTTGCACTACTGCCTCAAATAAACCCCACTGTTTTTCACATACTCAAACTCAGGAAAGTCTTGTTGCTTACCATTGTTTTAATTGAACCAAATGAGGTAATAGCCTGGCGAAGGTAAGATGGGTCAGCCTCAAAATTCAGGATGGAAGACTCCTCTGGTTTGAGAGTAAGACTTTCCAGTCTGAAAGAGTAAGAGGATAGTTACAGAAAGAAAACAAACAAGACAATCTTCTCCATCCATCACGTTTTGTGAATCAGTCCATTATTTCATAAAAAGGCTTCCAAGCTGCCTTGGCACCAATTGCCTAACAAAAAGACTTCTAACACTTGCACAGAGGGATGGCTATCCACAAACCAAGAACAGAATAAATAGTCAGCAAAGGTTCTCCTTCTTACATCAATTCCCATCAACAAGTCATATTTGAAATAATCTGCACAAAGGATATTTCCCCTGCTCACTGTAATCTTATTTTTTCAATCTAAGATAAAAAAGATGAAAGGAATCACATCTCAGACTGCTTTAAAGATCTTATTTCTAGAAACCATTGAAAACATCGAAACAGTGAGTGAGATTTACTATCACTTCTGTTAGAATCAAAGTATCAGATTAAATTCCTAAGTCAACATAAATACCAACTGTGTTAAGTTGAAATATATTTACCTCTCCAGGCAAACTGAAATCTGGTTTGCCAGCTCGTTGCTACAGGAGCGTTCCAGCTGATGGATCAGACAATTGAATTGTCCCAGGTACTGCAGGAATACAGAACACACGTTATTGTTTTGGCTTCTAAGATCCCAACTATGAAGAACATTTGCAAGGACAAAGCTTACTGAGAAACACCCACTGCACCATTTGCAACCAAAGCTCACCCAGTAGAGCTGCTGGGCCTGCTGCTGCAGCGCCTCCTCCTTCAGCTGCTGGATGAGGTCCACCTGCTCGAAGAGCCAGACCTCGCGGCTGCGCAGGCACTCCAGCTGGCGGCTGATGTGGCTGTGGATCTTGGCTTTGACCTGCAGGGGGACACGGGGGG